CACAAGAGAGCGTCTACACTGGCATGTGCTTTTGCGCAAGTGATGTGCTTTTGCGGAGAAGCATCCGTGCCAGTGTAGACGCGCTCTTGCGCAAGAAAGCTCCAATGGCCATTTTAGCCATCGGGCTTTCTTGCACAAGAAATTCATGTTGCCTGTCTACACTGGCCTCTTGTGCAAGAATACTTGTGCAAGAGGGCTTTTTCCTGAGTGGGAGCATCATAGTTCTTGTGCAAGAAGCACTGATTTCACACATTAGAACATCAGTGTTCTTGTGCAAGAACTCCCTGCCAGTGTAGACTGGCAACATGTTTTTGCACAAAAGCAGGCGCTTTTGCACAAAAACATGCCAATGTAGACACAGCCCCATTGTATCCTTGAACTTTCCTATAAGTGTAATTTATACAAAATGACTGTGCATGGTCAACGATGGGCCTCACGGGATAGTTTTTAATATGCTAATGTCTTTTACACTAGTAACTAACAATGGAAGTTGTTTAAAAAAACTGGGCCCAGATCCTGCAATCTGATCCATATTAATAGCTCTTTATGCTCTTAATGAGCACTGCTGAAGTCAATGAGGGTATACAGATCTGCTTGTGTGGATTCAATTGCAGGATAAGTCCCTACTTCCCTTATGGGCATTACTTAGATTTGTTAGATTTCTGCATTTTATTCAGAGCAGTCAAACTGCTTTCCTCTTCTTGTCAGGTTCATTGTTGCCCACTGTTGTACTTTCAACATTGCAAGACAATATTTACATTTAAAAAATGCTGTTTTCACTTTTTAAAAAAATTGTTACTTTTATGGAACTATTTCCAGTCACGCTTGGTTTTGTACGCCCCTCCCTCTGTTTCTCTTTCTTATAAGAGAACCTGAATGTTGAGCCTAAACTAAGAGGACAGGATGTAGCTAAAAGGTTTTCAGGTCTCTCTTCAGAAAAATGACAGGGTAACAAACTTTTAAAATAGATGTTAAAACAGTAGGATAGCACACACAAAAAATAGCAAGCAAAAGGCATTCTGGATGGAAGATGCTGCACTGGAAGATGCTGGTGGGATAAGGGCTGGTGGTAAAACAATCCCAGGCAAGGATGAGTTTTTCACCTTATATTTCACAAACTCCTTTCAACCTAATAGTCTGAGTCATTGTGGAACTTCTATCCAAAACTCTGTTTTCCTTGTCTCTTCACCTCAACCACTCCTTGGTATCTTGTTTCTTCTGTAAAATATACTGAAGTTACAGATGCAAAATGAAGTTAAATGAGACTTCAACTAGAATTGGGCCTATATCATTTTGATGCTTTCTAGGTTATCACGCTTGTGTCCAGTGATTATAGAAAGGAAAGGAAATCATACACTCCATGGGTTGCATTCCCAGCTCTTCCTCTTACTTACAATACCTTTTATGTGAGGCTCTCAAAACACTTTCAAATACCAAGGAATGAATGAGGCTTTGTGAGTTAGGGAAGCATTATTACCCCCACAGGGTAACTATAGCTGCAAGAGGTTAGGTGACTAACCAAAGTTTCATAGGCAGGTTTGTAGCAGGGCAGAGAATAGTATCCACAGAAATTGGGATTTTGAGTTCTGTGTTTTAGACATCATCTTTCCCCAAATTCCCCCCTTTCCACCCCCCATGGTTCTCAACCTGCAGCAGGCAGGCCTCTTGTGGCCCAATCAGCATAATCCCTTCCTCCCTCAGATAGTACTGGGTGTGGTTAGATAGTTGAGAAATTGGCTACTTTGCACTTTGTTATGCTTGTTACTGTTCATCAGAGCCTTCTAGCTACTGCCTGAAATGGAATAAAAAGCTGGGCCTGAATTTTAATGACAATAAAGGCAGGTGGCCTACATAATCATGGAAGGAGATAATGGGGCTCACCTATTTGTATTCAAATAACTCTCAGAGGGTACTGAGTGCCACAGATTCCCCTCATTTGAGGACTAATGGGTTTGTTTATTTTTTCTCTCCTTAAATGCCTACATTTTATTAAAGGGGATTTTATGGCAGAGAAAGCTGTCAAAACACTAATGTTTAACCACAGAAAAGATTGAGCATGGACAGCAGCAATGCAAGCTTTCCCATGACTCATTTCTGGCCAGCTCAAAGATCTGAGAAACGCTTCCGGGCTGGAGCTCTTCACTAAACAAATTAGAGAAACTCGGACTAAGTGGTGAGGGGGAATATCTTTTATTGGCCCAACTTGGGGAGCACAACAAGCTATTGAATTTACACAGAGCCCAAGCCACAGAGTGACGTGAATCAGGGCTATCTACATTGCCATTTTACTGTGCTTTACCTTTCTTGCTCCAAGGTGTGAAAAAACACCACTCTGAGCACAGCAAGTTACAATGCTGTAAAGTGCCAGTGTAAACAAGCTCCCAGCACTGTTAGCTACTCCCCTCATGGAGATGGTTTACATAGAGTGCTGGAGAGCTCTCTCCTAGCACTGGTGGCATAACCACACTGCCCCGTTATGACACTGCCGTGGCTGTGCTTTATACTTTGCAGTGTAGACAAAGGGTTTGTTACAGCCCTGAGCTGCAGAGCCAGGCTGTTTAGCTCAAACTGTGAAAACTCATGCTGCAATACCTCAGTGCTGGCCAAGATGGTGGCCATCACAACAAGAAGGGGCCAATTAGCATCACTTTGGTGGCACCTATCCACTACAAACAAATGAAGACCAAACTAATTTCATAGTAGCTACTGAATTGTCATCCCCCTGCAGCGACTTTGTTTATTACCAACCTGGGCTCTAACTGAACCAATGCTTTGGAAGTAAAAGTTCCTATGTCCTATTCCTCGTCCCTCTCCCAGTCATTGTTAATTCTGTTTTTCCAATGAGTACAAAATATTTTGTGACTAGAAAAAAATTGTAACTATTTTCTATGTGACTGTATGTAAATATGTGTATTTATACATGTAAATGAATGTACATGCACATGTACGGAAGTGCATGTATAGGAATGGGTAACTATATACACATGCATGCATGACTCAAATGCATATGGGTGTATGGAATATGATATGCTTCAGTTTAGAACATTGTGCAGAATTACTATTCGCGTAGAGCCCTGTAGTGGAACAGCGATCCTGTGGGTCCCGTAGGACTGGCTGCCGTTGACAGCAAAAATGGGGGGGAGTGCAATTAAACAACAGTTCTGGTCAGGAATCCACTTCAATTCTGATATCTGGAGTGATGGGTTTTACTGCCTCACTGAGCCATAAAAGTGAGAGAAATAATGCAAGGCCCAGTCACTCATGAAGTTTCACTTCTTTGATTGTGGGGCTATTGCAAGACCCAGATCTTGCATGATTTTGCCCATGTAAATGGATCTGTGAAACAAAAAAAGCCCATATTAAATGTGACCATCAATAAAACACTGAGCCATGAGGAATCCACACTGAGCCCCGGTCTGCACTAGGGAGTTATTTTGAAATAACTCCTCTTATTTCATAATAACAAATGGAGCATCCTCATTACCAAGCACATTATTTTGAAATAGGCTGGTTATTTCAAAATAACTCCTGCTTGTCATGGAAAATAATGCTTATTTCAAAATAGTTATTTCGAAATAGCGGTAGTATGGATGCTCCACTGCTGCTATTTCTAAATAACTATTCCCCAGAGTCGTTCAAAGTAATTACTCCCCAGTGCTACCTGGGGCTCTTAAGTTGAGGTAGCACGTCCACAATAAGGGAGCCTGCCTTGGACTAATTTTGAGGTTTTCCTGTAGAGTGGAAACACTATTTTGAAATAGTCATTTTGGAAGTTGTTATTTTGAAATAATTTCCTAATGTAGACATGCCCTAAGAGTGCACATTGCTGGTACAGTACTTGAGTGTGAGCTCAGTGCACTGCTAACATGAAAGTATAATCAATCCTTTATCCTCTAAAAGAGGAATAAGTCATGACAGGAGACTAATAATGAGGTAGGCTATGTCTACACTGGCCCCTTCTTCGGAAGAGGCATGCTAATTTCTAAGTTTGGAATAGGGAAATCTGCGGGGGATTTAAATATCCCCCGCGGGATTTAAATAAACATGGCTGCCACTTTTTTCCGGCTTGGGGAAAAGCCAGAAAAGAGCATCCAGACTGGCGCGATCCTCCGGAATAAAGCCCTTTTCCGAAGGATCTCTTATTCTTTCAAGTAGGAATACTTCTCAAAAGTTCAGTAAGAAATAGTTAACAACTTGGCACTCCACTGTGCCCTGTCTTACAATACAGGAACAAGAATGTATTCAATGAAATTGAAACATAACCAATTTAAAACTGATACAAATAGTGCATGGAGTTCATTGCTATAAGCTACAATCTTTAACTGATAGGGTTGAGCACGAAAATTCCCTTATAATTAATTATTCCATAATTCCATATTGTCCTCTGCAGGGTTTCTTGGCCCTCTTTCTGGAGCCAGGTAAGAAGATGATACAATATATTGAACTAGATAAAACATGGGTCTGATTTAGTGTGCCCATTCCCATGTCCTTATTATTTAAAATGGTCTCAGTTAGTTTTCAAAGTTAACTGCCTTAATCATGAATGGGCCAGTTCACACCTTTCAGAGATGTTCTTTCAAGTAGGGACAGCATTAGTAATGCATCAGGTCATTTTCAAAAGGATTTAAAAGCAAATACAAGCTTAAACTCTACAGAAAGTGATGGAGTCATGAGAGATGCACTTATGTTTTGTGTTGCCACCTATTGGCTCAATACAACTGTTGTCTGCATAGAAAGATAGCCTGATAAAAAGTCATCATCTGTTTCCATTGGTCCAGATTCCGATCTCATTCAGTTGAGGTCAGTTGGGGATAACTTTCCGTGGAGTTATTCAAAAGTGGAATATGTCTCAGAGAAATATAAAAAAATATACAAATCATTACAGGTATATCTTATATGAATGTAGATTTGTCAGTTTGAATTTGCCAGATATCTTTCCTTCAATAAAGCACCTTTCTTGCTAGTACTGGTTACCAACAAAAGACACTTTAATTTCAGACTTTTATTGTTTTCCTGGTGTTTCAAAATATACATGACTGAAGAAAAAAAATCTCTACTCTGGAATGAATGTAATACACACATTGAAAAATTAAAGGCCTGATCCTGCAAACCCTTATTCATCACATAAGCAGTCTTTACCTTCCCCCCTCCCCCCCACATTCCCACTGATTTCAGGACTGAAGGATCAGACCTGGCCTATGATTATGTATCTCAACCTCTAGCTGAAATATTCTTAGCTCATGGCACAAAGGTGAGAAATAGACAGCTTTGAGTTGCACAGTATTTACATTTAAGTGCTTCTGCTCTGTGATTCACGGGAAGAATATTTTTATGGTCAGGACTGATGCACAGACAAAATTGTAGGGCCTGAGATTTCAACACAAACTGATTGGCTCAACAGTTCTTCAGCTGGAAATCATCATTGCTATTTCTGCTTTCCTCTGCAGGTGTTTGCTATGAATCTGAGTCTAAAGTAACTGAAGTCAATGTTGTTACACTCATCTAAGGAGAGAGCCAGGTTTCATAGTTATCAAGTACATAAGGCAGCAAAATACATGTATCTATGGACTGTCTTTGTTGGCCATTACTGCATTAGTGATGGGCACAGAGGGGCCCTGCGCTGGAGGCAATGACCAGACTCTCTCCCTAAAGAAGACACGGGCAGGCCCAATTCTCCAATGGGGGCAAACACAGTTCCAAGCAGCTGCCAAACCCTTTTACAGGGTGCAGTATGCCAAGTCCTTTGTGGCAGCTCGACCAGCCAGCTGGCATGAAGGGATGGGAGGAGAGCTGACCCGTGTCTCTAACCCCTTTTGCAGTGTCTAGGACTGATGGCAGCCCTTGCCTGTACTATGCACACAGGGAGTGCAAGCTGTAGGATTGAGTCTGTCTCCCTGGAACTGTAAGGGAGGACAGGCCTCCTGAAGGTCCCCTCCCCCTTGCAAGAGCAGCCAGGCCATTGCCACGTGTGTTTATTCTACACCACTGCTACATTGTCCATAACACAGCCACATTTTTCTACAATCATGTTAGGAAATTCAGCCACTTCAATCTCTGTGTAGTTTCCCTTCTTGACGAGGTACATCATGGGCAGTGGGGAGCTCTCCACCACAGCGCAGGTTCTTTCCCCATAGCCAAAGCGACGCAACAGGCTCTTGGCCTGCACGCAGCCCCCCACACAGAGGTAGGCCTGGTACCCTGCAGGCTCAATAATCCAGTACTGAGTCCAGGTCAGCTCTCGGAAGTTGATGTAGTGTTCCTGTCGGCAGCAGGTGGGTTTCTTCATCACAGTTTCCTCCCTGCAGTCTCCAGGCCCCCTATCAAAAAGCAAAGCCAGGAAATAACATCTCTGATGGCAAATCAGGACTCACACTGAAAGATGGGGTGGGAAAAACAGTCTCTGTCATTAGTATCAGAGAAGGGCTTGACCTTCAAAACTTGGCTCTGGATTATCGCCTTGCCCCCAGAATTCAGAGATGTTTAGATTCCATGCAAGGTGAGGCTTCAGGCCCATTCTTAGTTCAAGTGCTTTATTTAAGCACACAAATCAGATCAGTAAACCTGGGGAGGGGAGAGGGTTTAAAAGCAGTGGTCCCCAACGCGGTGCCCACAGGCGCCATGGCGCCCGTCGGACCATTTCTGTGCGCCTGCCAAGTGATCGGGGCTGGCCCTGCCCCCAGGTGCGCGGCACATGGGCGGAGCCAGCCCTTGGGCACATTGGCGGCACCGGCCCCGGGCACGCAGCACATGGTCAGTGCCGGCCCTGGGTGCGCAGCGGTTAGGCGGCCCCACCCCTGGGTGCGCGTTGCGAGGTCTGTGCTGGCTCCTGCCCCGGGTGTGTGGTGTAAGGGCAGTGCCAGCCCAGGTGCATTGCACAGGGGTGGCGCCGGCCCCGGGCGTGCAACACATGGGCGGCCCTCCCCCCTGGGTGAGCGGTGCGAGGGCTGTGCTGGCCCTGGGCTTGCAGCGTATGGGCAGTGCTGACCCAGGCGCATGGCATAGGGGCAGCACCAGCCCCGGGCGTGCACCACATGGGCAGCCCCGCCACGGGGTGTGCGGCGCATGGGCTGTTCTGGACCCGGGTGCGTGGTGTATGGGCGGCCCCACCCCTAGGCGTGCAGCACAATTGCGGCACCAGCCCCAGGAGTGCGGCGCATGGGTGGTGCCAGCTCTGGGCACGCAGCATATGGGTGGCCTTGCCCCCAGGCACGTGCGTGGCCCTGCACCCAGGCGCGTGCGCGGTCCCACTCCCAGGTGCCCAGCATGTGAGCAGCCCCACCCCCGGGCACTCGGCAGCCCCAAAAGGTTGGGGACCACTGCTTTAAAGTAAAGAAACTTTCTAGCTATTCCATTTGCAATAAATTATTTCTAACTGGAAAAGCTGGGTCGTTAGACCTGAGTCTCCATTGCTATGCACCTTGTGTAGTTCTTTTACACTGTGCAAAGTGTAAAATGGCATCATAACAGAGTGTTCTATAAACCCTTGCATGTGCATTGCCTCTGTGTAGATGACCACACAAGATGCAAGGAATGGAGAACCAGTCCTGTTCTCTGGCTCTAAAAAGTCAATGCTATCCCAGTCCAGATGTGTTTGTCTCCTCTATTCCTTCTGTGTTTCCATTATATAAATGATTACTTGTAAAATATATTGCAAATAAAGAGCTAATCAAACCGTCTTGGGATAGTTTGGATTTAGATCTGAATTTCACAGCTGGTTTCTAGCTCTAAGTGGGGCCTAACTAAAACCCCAGGTTCAAATAGTCCAAACTATAGGGAAATTTTGAACCAGATCCTTGTCCAAACTTTGTGGTTCATTTCATTCCTAAGGTTGACACGTTATTTGCCTCAGTATGCAACTTTTAAGGCCTCTTTGTATTTTTACCTAACCACTCTAGGGCTGTGTCTACACTGGCATGAATTTCCGGAAATGCTTAAAACGGAATACTATTCCGTTTTCAGTTTTTCCGGAAAAGGAGCATCTACATTGGCAGGCTGCTTTTCTGGAAAAGCCCTTTTTCCGGAAAAGCGTCTGTGGCCAATGTAGACACGCTTTTCTGGAAAAGAGCCTCGATCACCATTTTCGCGATCGGGGCTTTTTTCTGGAAAAGACTAGTGGGCTGTCTAACTGGCCCTTTTCCGGAACAGTGTTCCGGAATAAGGACTTATGCCCAAGCGGGAGCAGAATAGTTTTTCCGGAATAGCGGCTGATTTTGTACGGTAGAGCATCGTTGCTTTTCTGGAAATTCAAGGGCCAGTGTAGACAGCACGCAGCTTATTCCGGAAAAGCAGCTGATTTTCTGGAATAAGTGGCCCAGTGTAGACACAGCCTAGGAGTTTTGCAATTAAATTCTACCTCTCCAAGCCTGAAATTTTATCTTCAGCATGAATTAGCAACCAGATATCAAAGACACTATAGACTTGGATTTCAAACATACCCATATTCTTCCAGGTTGAGAGTATAAAGAACCAACTCGGGTCTGCCCAGGGCTTTATCCAAAGGATCCTGAGAGGTAAACCGCACCACTTTGGCCATTTCTGAGGCATAGCTGCCTAGCCTTTCTCCTTCAATCCAAATCTCCAGGAGCATTGGTCCTGGCTTCTTGGCTTTTAGCCAGTAATGTACAGCCTGAGTCACGTCAAAATTCGTCCAACCAGATTCCATTATTGGAACCAGCCTGTGTGACAAGGTGAGGACAAAAAAAGTCAATTTCAGGGAACTGAAAGAACAGGACCTGCAATGCTTGGTGAAACTCTGTTTACAATAACGGCATTACACCAAAGATAAATTTGGTCCTTCCATTTTGCCATGTGTCCTTACTGTTCAGTAATGGATGGCTATTATTAAACTTTCATAAAAATAATAATTATTTTTAAGAGACATACAGATATACTCATCTAACGAATGAGAAGGTTCTAACTAAAGAAATGCTATATCCATGCACATCAAATAATTCATTAGTATTTCTACAGAGCTTTTATGATGCAGAAGGACCATATTCATAGAATCATAGAATCATAGAATAATAGGACTGGAAGGGACCTCGAGAGGTCATCGAGTCCAGCCCCCCGCCCTCAAGGCAGGACCAAGCTCCACCTACACCATCCCTGACAGATGTCTATCTAACCTGTTCTTAAATATCTCCAGAGAGGGAGATTCCACCACCTCCCTTGGCAATTTATTCCAATATTTGACCACCCTGACAGTTAGGAATTTTTTCAGCCTTGGCATAAACAAATGCAAACCCTTTAAAGACAAAGGCATTTACATTTATTTTGCCAGAGCTAAACTGGGTCTCTAAAATTCTATGCAGAAACAAGTTGTATCTGATCTTGCCCTCACTGAAGTCAACTGCAAGGCTGTAGGTAGTGCAGAATTCACAGCCCACGTATGGAATGTGCATAGTCATAATGACCAATAAAAGAAATTTTCAGAAGATAGAAAACCAGGAATCCATTTGCATTTTCAAAACAACAGAGAAAGAAAGATGTGAATGAGTCTGAAGGCTGCACCAGAGCAAGAAACTAGAACTATTAGATGTGATTGCAATTTTTAACTGTATTATAATGCCTACCTCTCAGCCAAATGACATAAATACAGTCACTTCATGATAAATATTGAAATATTTCTAAGAAAAAACACCCTTGCTCTTATGAACTCATTATGAACTTAAAAGAGAAGTCTTATGTGGGAATTGTACCAATGCAAGGGCTATGGGCCTGATTCTGATCTCACACCAATTGTTTACAGATGTAATTCCACTGGGTTCACTGGAGGAGACATCAGACTCAGGCCCACTAAAACCAAGTCCCTAAATATAGCTATATAATTTCTTACCTGGAATCAATCAGGGAAGTCCTGTTGGTGCCATCAGCATGGATCTGCACCCAATATACGCTGACTCTGGCATTAGTGACTGGTCTGTGAGATTGCTTGGTGGTAGGCAAGGTTGTTCTGTTCAGGGGTTTTTTGAAAAGTTTTAGTTCAGCCATTGTGACTTCACTGTTTTCAGGTATTCTTCCTTCCATGTCAAAGACCAGATTCTGGCGTGTAGTATCAGAATAGAGAACTTCTCCTGAAATATCTGTGTACATTGGGAACAACAAAGAGAGCTTGGCTCAGCATCATTTCCATCCTACACAAATAAAGCCCTAACACTTCCCTTTCCTTCCAAATTATCACAACACACTCATATCATA